CCTTAAGGAATGTTTGTGTGTGTGTGTGTGTTCTCGTTCTCTCAGGCAAGCTCTCTGTTATCTGCCTTTCTCAAGGCTACTAACTCACTGCGTAGTTAGCAGTAAACAGATTCCATCTCGGCCTCTCATGACGTATAAGTATTTCAGCTCCCAACCTCCAGCCAGGAGATTTCCGCACTGCTTTCCTACACCCTACTATGAGGGTTCTTGTTGATTTAATGATAATAGCTGCAAAAACAATCTTGGCGCAGGTCTGGAAAACAGATAAAATACCATCCCTTAGACAGTGGTTTTTGAAAGTATGGGATATAATGGCTATGGATAAAATAGCAACTCAAATAAGAGAAGATGAGAATGCACGATTTAAAGAAAACTTTACAAGAAAGTGGTTTTGATTTTTTTGATTATATTAGTAAAACAAGCGATACAGTTAGTGCCTTACCTGCAAAGTATGTTAACTTTGTTTTTTATTAAGTTAATTAAGTTCATTGTTGAAAGTCTTATATGAAGAACAGTGTTGTAATATTTTGATATTTTGATAATCAATAAAAATAAAGTTATATTAAAAAGTAAAGACATCAGCCTGCCAACAAAAGTTCGTATGGTCAAAGCAATGGTATTCCCAGTAGTAATGTATGGCTGCAAAGTTGGACTATATGGAAGGCCGAGCGCTGAAGAATAGATTCTTTAAAATTATGGTGCTGGTGAAGACTCTTGAGAGTCCCTTGGACTGCAAGGAGATTAAATCAGTCAATCCTAAAAGAAATCAACCCTGACTGTTCCCTGGAAGGCCAGATACTGAAGCTGAAATTCAAATACTTTGGCCAACAAATAAGAAGGGAGCACTCACTGGAGAAGACCCTGATGCTGGGAAAGACTGAAGGAAAAAGAAGGGGATGGCAAAGTATGAGATGGTTAGAGAGTGTTATCGATGCAACAAACATGAAATTAATCAAACTCCGGAGCACGACGGAAGACAGGAGGGCCTAGCATGATGTGGTCCACGGGGTCGCAAAAAGTCGGACTCGACTGTGCGACTGAACAACGAAGCTTTGTTGCACATTTTCCAAGAATCTTATCATGTACTTTCATTTTTGTACTCCTGCCCTTTTGAACAGATCCTGGATCTTCATAGATCTTTACTTGGCACCTCTGGGTTCTCAAGACTTTACTTTGGTAGCCCATGAGATTGGACATAAAGAACAGAGGCTCATTGTTTATGCATCTCTTTGCCATTGTCTTTAGTTGCAGGAAAATCTTGGACTTCTTTTTTATCAAATCCCAGATCATGTTCTGCTCATCTTTCACAGCATTTCATAACTGTTTTTGCAGCTGTGGTTGACCTTGTCCAGAGCCAGATCTGCAGTGGTTGCTATATTGTATGTAAACTGACTTTGAGTGACTATTGGTCATTTTTAAACACAAAAGAAGTGACCAGACATGTGAACTGAACTGAGGAAGCAGTATTAACACAAACCATGGAACCTGGGTTCCAATCGAACAAACATATATTTTACAGCAATGGTGTTGTGTCTGCGGTCTCACTCCTTAGCTTGGTTCCAAATACAATAGGGACCAAGGATCCTAGGCCACCCTGAGTCCTCCAATAGGACCTTGGCGGGAAATTCAAACCCCCTAATGGAACTCTGGGTGCGCTGGGTGGAGTGTATATAGTTGGCCCTTGCCGGGCTGTGTATGTTCTCTTGTTGTGAAGTACAATAAATGCGTCTAGTTAGCATGTCGTAGTCCGCGTCTCCATGTGCGAACCCAGTACTTTACAAATGGAAACTGTATCAACCTATTCTCTTTCTGGTCTTTAGAACTCTGTACCCAACATGGACATAACGTAAACTGCCCATCTCTAGCCATGTTTGTCCTCCCATCAGCAATCATGCCAAAGAAAATATTCAGTTTCACTGCTTTCATGATATTATGTTAGGGTTGCCAAGTGTGAATTCAGCCGCATCCACATCGCCCAAAAGTGACGCGGGCACGCCAGGGGCGGGGCCACGACCATCCAAGGGAAAACCATAGAGTTTTCCCGCGGATGACCGTGGCCCTGCCCCCAGCATGCCCGGTGTGGTCGCGTCACTTCCGGGTGATGTGCACATTGGGATGGGGGTGGAGTTCCCCCTGGGGCCCAATCTGGGGCAGCGGGGAACGGGCGTTGGGGGCGGGGGTTTCCCCGTCCCCTGGGGGGACTTGACAAGCCTATATTATGTTGAAGAGTTCAAGCCATATATTCATTTATTGCTGCTGCTCGTTATTGCTGCTCAGCTACTTGTATCTTCAAGTGAACCATTTTTAAAGGCAAGTACATCTTCTGAGCATTCCTTCAAAAGGTCAATGAAATTACCACCATGTCTGGTATGCTCATGGAATACTTAAGGTTGTGCACAAAAACAATGATGTTCAGTCCTGCTCACACCTCCTCCTTCTACTAACTTGAATACTGAAAAGTACTGAGACTTACTTAGTGAATTCAGCTCTCATACTTTATTCGGAGAAGAACAAGACAAAGTAGGCGGCTTACAGGCCAGCTTATATGCCCCAAGGAAAACACACCTACACACACACCACACCCATGAATGGTCTATTTACACTGATTAGATTATTCCTGGGGAGCCTAGGTTTCCGATTGGCTGGGAACTAGGATCCGAGCGTCTATTGTGTTTGGGAGCGAAGCTCAGGTACCTCACCTGACCGCATGTGAGCCGAAACTGGATTGAGCACATGGCTAGGTCAGGACACAACAAATACATAGTAAGGAGTTCAAACACATGCAGACTATCTCTGTGTCATTAGGCAGGATCTCACTGAATTTTATTCCCAGGCGGTTCTGATAAGATAGGGTTCATGAACAGTATAGAATGGTAGATACTCTGTTCAGGGTCCGGCTTCTGCACTCTCCCCTGCCTGTCCTCCACTTTATGTATTTATTTTTCTCAGCTGAGCTCAGCACTTTCCTCTATACTAAGCACTGCTTCTAAACCAGGCTGCTGAGAGGGGGAACTAGGGAAAAAATTCTGGGGGCCTGGTCACCCTGATGTGATCTGTTTTCAAACAATGTTGGGGTTGAGTCTGGATAATAATGTGAGAGGGCCCAAATACTAGGGAATTTTTCTCTAGAAGTCCATGGAGGGTCTTAGCAGCCCCGCTTCTCAGATCCGGCAAGAAAAGTTTTGCAGTTGCCTGACGGACTGTAAACAGGGGGCTGCACCTATTTTTCACCTTTATCAGTCACCTTTGACTACAGTAACAACAGTTTTTGCCTGACCATAGGTAGGAGTGCTGGGGTTCAACCACCCTAACTTCTCTCTCGTGGATGCGCTTTAGCCTCCTCAGTTATTTGCAGGGTCTACCCAGGTTCTGAGTGCCAGTTCCCCCAGCTGCAATGGGATCTCATGTAGGGTTGCCAGGTCCTCCCTGGCCACTGGTGGGGGGGGAAGGTCTGAGGTTGCCAGCTCCAGGTTGGGAAACTCCTGGAGATTTGGGGTTAGAGCCCGGGGAGGACAGGGACCTCAGTAGGGTACAAGACCAGAGTCCACTCTCCAAAGCATCAATTTTCTACAGGTGAACTGATATTTGTAGTCTGGAGATGAGGTGTAAGTCCAGGGGACCCCCAGGTCCCAGCTGGAGGCTGCTATCCCTACATGGAAGTCCAATTTGGGGACAGGTGTAGAGCTTGCCTTGCTCTTTCATCAACTTTGCAAATGGCTGCTGCTAACTTTAGGATGAATAATTTTTGTTCTAAACAGAACCATGTCTGCTTTTAAGCCTGAAGTAAATCTGTCTGATTTGGTATAGTTCCTCTCCCCATAGGACAAATCCCAATGGATTTTGTTAGTGTGTAGCAGCAGGCCCAGGGGAGTGTATATGTCACAACGTGTTGGTCTGGAAGGTGCCACAGGAAGATGATCTGCCTCTCCTCCTCCAGAAGGCTAGGGACAGTGTTCCTCTATGCTGAGTTAGTGTGAGCTAGCTCAGTTTTGTAGCCTCCGGCTCACACATCCTGTCTTAGCTCAGGAATGATGGCTCCAGAGCAAACTAATTTCTGCAGTAGCCAAATTGCTCTGTCACAACTTTAATGCCAGTAGCTCACAAAGATTTTTTGCTCACAAGACTCCACAGCTTAGAGTGAGCATTGGTTAGAAACTATTTTGTTTCCTCCGTGATGAGAAAAACCACTGTACACATGTTGAAAGGCACTTTCCTATTGATATGTTGCACAACGTAGGCCTGCGTCCTGAGAAGAGGTTCTGCGGGCTAAACTCCAAATTAAATCCCAGAGTTTGTACGGCTGCCCCGGCGTTAGGTCTCCAGATCAGAGGCACCGATATTCTTCAGAATCGCGTGCACTGCTTACCAGACTTAAAACCCAAAAACATGTACATCCTTTAAACGGGCTCTCTTATGTAATTCGAACATATTTATCTTGCGTTTCCCGCGTTTTTTTCATGAGCAAGTGTCGTACAAGCGAGGCCTGTCTACCTCGCCTCAGTGCATTTTCCTTAGAGAGAGACTCGGCGCAGACGCACGTGCGCCCCCGTGCGGACCGCAAAGCGCTCCTTCTGCAAAGCCATACTTCTAAGACAAGCCGCTCTCGCCGCGCTAGAAATCAGAAGAGTGAGCCCAGGGACACACGCTACCATGACGGACAAGTGAAGACACCACTCTAACACCAAATTTGAAGGTGGGGAGGGGGAAGAGGCTCGGCGTTGGCAAGGCAGAAGACGGGGACATGTAAAGGGCTACCGCTTGCAAAGCGCTAGAGCGCCCGGAAGGAAGAGAGGAAATCGGGAGAAGTGGGTGGGGCCACTCGCATGCCCGCCCCATAATGGGAGGCAATGAAGGCGGGAAATATTCCTACGTTATTGAGTCTTCTCCGCCCCCCCGCCTTCGTGCTGTGCGTCGCGATTGGCTGCGGTGAATCCAGGTCGTGCTGCCATCGGGCGCCCTGAGTTCCGGCTTCGACGAGCAATAGGCGCAACGCTCCCGGAAGTTCCATGGAAACGGTTTCATAATCATAGAGATGGTGAGGTTTAAGAATAGGTGAGTGCGTTTAGGAGGTGGAAGGATGTTTGGTTAAATAAAGGTGTGCTTGCAGAGAAAGTTATTCTTTTGTAAGCTTACTCTGGGTGCATGAGAAGAGCTGTGTTGGGTCATCAGAGCAACTGGTTTTATAGTCTGTCTAGCACTGTGTTTTCCCACAGTGGTATGCCAGTGGCACATGTATGGTCAGCCTTATGGCTTGTTGTCGGTATCTGCTACTTAGAGGTAGGCTGCGTCTGTGCATGGAAGGCCCAAATCAGTAATTTTATGAAAAGGATTTTATTAAGTTGGGGGGGGGGGATCTAACAATTTACACATACGTGCCCTACAAATCCTTTATTGGTTATATTTTATCCTATTCCTACCTGTCCTCCATCTACTCAACGGGCAACATGTATTCTCCCTCATTTTGTCCTTGTATCAACCCTGTGTGGTGGGTGAGGCTAAGAGAGTGATTGCCCTTAGGTTACTATGCATTTTTCATAGTAAGGGGGAGGGGGATTTGAACCTGAGTCTCGAACAATCCTGACCATTATGTTACGCTGGCCTCCTTTTTAAAGTTATCCATGCTACTCACATCTTGTCACAATGAGTTCCATTTTGTTGTATGAAATACCACTTCTTTTTGTAAATTCTGAACTTCTGCTGACCAATGAGTCATGTTTAATCCTAGTACAGGGAGAAATGAAGTGTTGCTATCTCTCCCCCTCCAGTGTGCATAACTTTATAGACTTGTTGTTTCCTTTTATTCGTTGTCCCCCAAAGCCATGAAATGCATTGCCAGTAGTTATAGACGGTATTATCAGACTCCTTGTTCTGCTGTTCTATTTATTGGGTTTTTGTCTGTTGTAATGCTGCATGTTGTGTATTTCTGTTGGGTAACTTTTGAGGTCTACTTGTGTGTAACTGTTGCTTACTGATCAGGTTTTTAGATGAATGGCTTTAATTGATGTAATTTGTAATTGTGTTTTCATGTTGTTGAGTACTTTCAGCTGACACGCATAGAATATGACTAAAAATAGCTAGTTGGTTGGGCCTGGAAAGGTTAACTTAATTTTCAGCTGTCTGAGTGCATTTTGTATAATTGTACTTTTCTCTCCATAGATTTTTTAGACGGGGAAGGAAGACATGATTTATAAATGTGCCAATCAAATAGTGCTCACCTATCCATTTACCAAAACGTTGGTGAGGTTTTGTTCTCTCTTTTCTCTCAGAGTTCTTTTGGACTAGTTTGATAATGTGTAAGCTTAAGTAAGTGTCCATTAGAAGGTGTTTTGAGTCAAAGGCAGTGTAGAAATAGATCAGAGGTTTGAGTTGCAGCATAAACAAGCCTGAGGTAGATGCAGGTTTGTGATCCAGATGTTTTTCCTCCCACAAGAGGAAGTAATTTCCTCTTCCAGGATTTTTTTAATACACCTTCCTTCTCCCCCATCTAATTGTTGGTCTGACAAGCTGCCTTCTCTTTACCTCTACAGGTACTTCCTCTGTGAGATTATTTCTGAAGACTTGCACTTTCAGCAAAGCATTGATGAATGGGCTGTGCACAATACAGTGAAAAATGTCGTTGCAAGGATGCATGGAGACTTTGGGCTGGCTTGCTGCTCCATTGCTTTTTCAGGTCTGGTTTCTGATGCTTTGCAGCCAGGAGCTACATCTGATTCCTATCTTAAGGAAAATCTGTCCTTGCCCTTGTCTCTGCACCCCTAAATCACTTTACAGTCTGTGCCTGCCCCTCTCCTTTGGAGAATAGCTGAGACTTAACTATGATTCTGGTGGCTGGTGGGTAGCAATAACTTGCCCAGATGGCATTGTACTCACTGAACCCTGACTGCTGCATGGGGATTGCTGGCTCTGGTGTGCTAATAATTGGTGTGCACCAGCTGAGGAATTTGTTTCACCAGGATGTAAGACATGTGCACTGCTGCTTAAATGTAATCAGACTGAACCCTTTATCCTGTCTTATGCTAGCACACCAGTCACAGGGGTTGGCAACCCTTTTTTAATTAGAAGGTTCTGAACTGAAAACAGTCCACCGGCCTTTCTTGCCCAAAGCCTGAACTCTGCAACCTTAATTCCCAGACATCATTCTTCAGGCAAAAAACTACTAGTTTAGCTCTCATATATGTCAAGGACTGTTCAGACTGATGGTACCTGTCCCGTTATCAGCTTGCTCAGTCAGCAGGCATGGCCTTTTCCACATCCCATATTTGAGGTTACACATGCACATATATCCAGAGCTAAGCCATGCCTATGTAGCATTCTCTTTTGCCTCTTTTCCCCAGTGAAGTATCTCAACGCCTACACAGGAATAGTTCTTTTGCGCTGCCGGAAAGATTTTCATCGGCTTCTCTGGTCATCTCTGCCTTTTATAACTCACTTGGAAAGCAGGAACGAACGTTATCGATGTTCCTTTAACACGCTGCATGTTGGAGGTGAGCTCCTTTGCTTGGGTTTTTCCATTCCAACAGTACAGCCGCTTAGGTCAGTGCTCCTATGTGCTCTGAAGTCTCCTATCTTTTGGTGTAGTGGTTAAGTGTGCGGACTCTAATCTGGGAGAACCAGGTTTGATTTCCCCACTTCTACACTCTCAGCTGCTGGATGACCTTGGGCAAGCCATAGTTCTGTCAGAGGTGTTCTTGAAAAGAGCAGTTTCTGTCAGAGCTCTCTCAGCCCCACCTACCTCACAGGGTGTCTGTTGTGGGGCAGGGTATAAATCCAATCACTTTTTCTTCTATGTTGGACACTCTGAATTCTTCTGTATTATTTAGTGTCAGGACAGCAGAGAAGGGTTAATGCCTCCAACTGTGTGGGTAGGTGCAGCCAGACCTGTCAGAGATGAGACCTTCTAGTTCTTGGGTCTGCCTTCTGAGAAGAACAGTAAGTCTGGATTACAGAATTTTAAGCCTGGGACTCTTGGCTGGCCAAAGAAAGCAAAAGTAGAATCTTATTTCCTCTGCACCCACCAGTGATTGCAAGTGAGCCTGTTCAACAGCTCAGAGGTTTTTATGTAACTTGCGATTCTTCAGCTTGCCAGCATATTCTGTCTTCCCCATCCCATATTTCCCAGTAGTGAAGAAATGAGGATTTTTTAAATGAAGGCTTGATTGCCCTAAATGTCCTTTTTGTGTCATTCTTCCCCAAGGTTTTGTTCTAGAGTTATGGCTCAATTATTCATTAATTATTAGAAGACTGTTTTTACGAAGACTGTTTTTTACGAGTCAGATGCCCATTCACCTGTGGAATTGTTGACTTTTTTCTCCACCAGCTACAATGAGAACATGTCAGAAATTCCTAATTCACCACAACAGGAACCAGCTACTGGTGTTGCTGCGCAACTGCACCAGTGAAGGTAACTAAAATGGGGCCTTCTGGAAGGAAACTCTTTCTCTTAAGTAGGACAGCAGCCAAGAATGGGGATCTCAGCCCCCAAGAGTTTGGTTGGGTTGAGTATAGGAATGCCTGCTCCTGAAATACATGCTCTGTCCCTTTAAATGTCTCTAAAGCTATATACCTTCATGCAAGCTGTCAGGTCTGTTAAGTTTTCTTCTAGGCAGGTTGCCTTCAGCATGGGCTAGAAGAGTGTTGCCAGGTAAACAGTTTCTTGTTTCAGGGAGGCTCAGTGTGCTCCTTTAAATTTGAAGACTTGTGGCATACAGCCCAGGGTGCAGAAAATGGTTCACAGTATAGTATTCAGCTTCCTTAGAATTTTTTTAAAAGTCTAGCAGTTATAGAAATGATTCAGTGTGTGTGGTTGAGGGCTGCCGGAATGTCAAATGATGGCATGTAGTTCCTTTGACCAAAACTAGAATTATGCAAAATATGTCTTTTGTATGGTTTTCCCATTTATACTTATTTTACAGAACTTCTGTGACCTTCAGCATCATAACTAGTCTAATGAGCAGTTTTAAAACATGGGCTTCATTTGAATGGACAAAATAAAAGCCCTTTATCAATGGCTTTTGAACCTCAATATGAGCTCTTCAAAGAGAAATCAGTAATGGTGGACAAGCTTCCCAAGAAGGCAGAGGGCAGGGGGAAATGAAGAATAGATAATGTGAGATTGTAGAGCCTTGTCCAACAAGCATGGGCCTTAGGGCCGCTTCCTTGAATTATCTGAAATGCTGATTTACAAGCTGTTTTGTGGACTGATATTATCCTTTTTTTGTTGCAGCAGATAGACAAGCTATCCAGAAGTCAGTGCAGAGCTGCAAGTTTGTGGGAGAGGAGCAGTATAATAGTGAGGATGAAGAAAGTAAGGATGAAGAAAGTGATGACAGCATGAAATGACTTTTGGGTTCCTTTTTGAGCAAGTACCTATGCTAAAGAAACCATTTACCCTATAACTCCTTTTTGGAAATAAATAAATAATTTATGGGAAAAATGCAACCAAGTTTATAGCATACAGAGGGGTAAATACCTTAAAATAAACCACATCCTTTTAAGCTTATGCTGTAGGAGATGGGATGTATGTCCCATTCTGCCTTTTTCATGGACCAGCCATAACCAATTTTAAGGTATTTCAAAAGCCCTAGATAGGAAATTTGATCCTTGCAATCGTGATGGCAAAGGGAAATAACATCACCTGTAATGTAGGGCTTTGCATTGTCTCCTGTGAAAAAGCATGAATGTGACTTAACTTGGAAGTCTTGTGGAGGCACAGGACTATTTTTTATTGAATAGTAAATGGGACGGACAATCTTTACAGGCCTCTGGGGACAGAACCACACACAAGCTAGGACTAAAAGGACTTGGCTGTGTAATACAGCTTCGGAAAATCCTTTATAGTTTACAAGCTGCTGAAAAGTGCAGCTGAACACTGAGTATGAACTGTCATTACTACTCTTGAAAGGAAAAGCATCAGAACCAACAAGGTTTCAAAGGCAGTAAGAATCTTCTCTAGTGAGCAGAGCGATGCCTACAAGTACCTGTAAAGGACTTTCAGATTTCTCCCAATGTATATTTTGACTTTGAAAATATAGCCCATGAAGAGTTCTATCAAACTTGAAAATTGCCTGTTGAGGTCATCCCTTAAGACCAAGTATTACATGGCTACAACCTGAATATAAGTGTTTAACAATGTGTTTTTAGCAAAAGTCAACCTTAAAAGCATGGCTTTGGTTAAGGCAGCTAGTAACACAAGATCAAGTCCTTCTACAGGATTCAATCTAGCACATGCATAATATGCAGAAATGAAAAAGGAAAAGTGATCTCTACTTTCCTACCATGGGTACCACTTTAGATGGAAAATTAACTGATGACAGAAGAAGAAACCACTCAGAGGCCCTTAGTTTAGAGCAAGCACTTGAACTGGTTCTACTTGATAAATGCAAGAGACTACAGCTGGGGCATCAAGTCCACACCACACATCAGCATCCCTGTGTTATTCACATGTTTTATTGCAACTGTTTGCCTTTGCTGGTATGATACATGAAACTCATTGTATTCAATACAGCTTTTAGTAAGTTTCCAATTAAGCCACAAGCAATGCAAAATGATTTTTTTAATGAGAGAAGAATGGCCAAAATAGCCAATCAAGTTAACCCCACCATCACACCAAGGTGGCCAGTATGTCCATGGCCTTTGGGCCAGGCTGATTAACCATGTTACCTTTTCATATTCTGTTCCTTGCTCTTATGATAGCATAAGACACAGCAGACTCGCCAGACTGAACACAGTAGCTCTGAGCCTCTTACTGCTTTACCAGAAAGCCCTTCCCCTCAATGTGCAAGGACTGCAGAAGATACAATTAGCAACCAAACTATTTTACCACCACCCCATTCTTTTGATATTAGAAGTCTTAATCTGTATGTGTGCTCTAGAGGCAGACCCATGTATTCTTTCCAGAGGAGCAGGTGCAAGAAGACATGTTACTCAGCCTGTTTGTATTCACTAGACTCTTCCACACAAGCTTAATATCGGTAACTTTGCCTCTAGTGCACCATGCTGGCAGTAATGCCCCCACCCCCCAACACAAAGGCTAAAATTAATCTTGGCACAACCTGAAACATTGGCTAAAGGGTTGTGAGTTTCAATACTTTATTTTGGTATCAACAAGTGAATTAAGTGAGCATACACTTGTTTTGAATCCCCACCACAGCCCAGCTCCAGAAACACTTTATTCAGCTGAAACTTAAATACTTATCTACAGCAGCAAAACCACAAAGCAAACAAAAGAAACCAAGAGAAGAAACCTGTCAATTACCAAGATTATTTTGTATGAACCACTGAAGTGCTGAACAGCAGTGTTTGTTTCTGTTTCTTTTTCTTGCCTTTTTTCTCTTCTGCAAAGGGGAAAAAGTAAGCTGTAGAGTCAACTTTTTACAAGCGGCAACTCCCCAGTTAAACTAGATAATTGCCCTTCAGCAACTTCACTTTCAGTCCCTCAAGCATTTCATAATTATAACTACTGTGCTTGCTGACTGGGCCAGAAGCTAAATTGACAGAATTAGAGCTGCACTACTGAAATAAGAAATCCCCACCTATGGTGGGAGATATTCATCTGCACGTCAATCTGGAGCTCTAACCCATGAACTTCCTGTTCTAATTCTTGAGTCCCAACACCTGATCAGATTGATCAACATCACAGACTGTCATATCTCATGCCTCACTATCACAGCAGAAGCTTTGCACTCAGGATGTGGCAGGTCTATCACTTGTATCTTAGATAGCAGAGTGGCCCTACTTATACGCAAGCACCATGCCTATGGCAACATTTCAGATCCAGTGAGGCACAGACAACTACACCTTTACCAACCCATGTGACTGCTTCACTTAGCTGCCTGAATGTGGCAGCAGCTGGAGCCACTTACCCTACTTAAGAAGTTAGGACAACACACTACATCACTGCAAGACAAAGCTATTTCACCTTCCCTTACCCAAGAAGTGGCTAGCAGAGGATGGCTTGTCCAGCTTTAGGAAGGCTGCTTCCATTGCTTGACTGAAGGAATTCTGGAAACTAGGCACAGGTATTCGGTCTGAATTATCACTCTCCCCATCACTGTCCCCTGGGGCAGGAGGTGCCAGGCTGGTGTTCTCTTCTGAAAAAAGATTGTTCAGTGAGGTCTCAACAAATGCTTGGGGAATGGTACTGGCTCATCCTTTAAGTGATGCATAATTTATAAAGCCCACTGCTTGAAGACACTATACAACTACATAAACCAAGACTTCCCTACCTTTCTTCTTTGGGACAGTTTTCAGCCATGTTTCTGGTTTAGCTTTCCCAGCCCGCAACATCTACCAGGAATAAGAGATGCAATCGGAATCAAGATTCAGACCAGTCATTTCAAATAAGAGTTACATCAGTGTTTCCAGGCCCAGCCCAATTTAGAGAACTTTGCTTGACTCATAGTCTGACTTCTTAAGGTCTGCCCTTTACAAGATGATCAGGCATTTAGCTTGGTGCAACTGAAGATTCTGTACATTACCTGAGCAAATGAGGGGAGGGGAGATTCTTCCTCTAGGCTCCCAACACACACAGAGGGGCTCCCAACACAGAGAGAGGGGCTGCCAAGGCTGGCTGTAGGTGACAGTGGAATGAAAGATTCTGCAAGGAGAAGAGTTGCATATTTAATGCAAGAACTAAAAGTGGCATTAAAGGAAAGTTGCTGAAGAGATGGCAGTGAATATTAGTTGGTCCAAAAAATGATCCAAAAAATCGGAATACGCATACAGGTTTCCATTTTTTGGATCATTTTTTGGACTTGCTTTAATACTGTTACCATCATCTCAACACAGTGAATATTAGTTGGCCAGTTCTTAATTTCTGAGTTATCTATTCAATAGCACTTTCTCATGTGTCTCTAACGTATGTGTTCTGTGTGAACAAACACAGTCAACTCCCCATCTTACACAGCTACATAAAGGTGTTTACACAAAACAAGAGCTATTATGTTAGCTAGGGCAGGCCAAGCACTTTTATAGGCATTGCCTCTGTGGCTAGTGCTAAAATGCAGATACTTAAGCCATCTATTAAACTTTTAGAGAAGGAGTACAGGTGTTAATCAAAGTCTTTTGGCTGCTCACCTGGTTGAGACACAGGGTGTAGTGACTGCAGAGCACTGCTCTGGTTCTCCATGCCACAGAGTTCCTCTGAGTAAGAGCTGACGGCAGGAAACTGCTGCAGGTTCTCTAAAGCAATACGAACCTCTGGATCTAAACACAAAGCCAAAAACTCTGACGCATCCAAGCTTAAGAGTCTGAAATGCAGCTATTCAAGCTAGCTTCAATGCTTTGCATCTCCTGTCTCTACCTTAAGCGATGCTACTGGACAACAACCAACATCTGAGTGGCTCCTTCACATTCCCCTGGATTTGGGGGTTTGGTTTGGCAAGTACTTTCTTCAGTGACCTTTTCCACTGCTTCTGTGTATCCACTCACATATTTCAAATCACACCAACCTTAAGTTTATCCCACCAGAGTACAATCATAAAGCCTCAAGGTAGAGTACAGAGAAATTTTTCCTACCCACACCTTTTTACAATGAGAGAAAACTAGCATGGGGATATATTGTCTGACTAGAGAGAGACCCGGGTATGCATCCACACTGCACCATGGAAGCTCAATGGATGACTTTTGGACTAGTCATGCTCTCAGCCTAATCTACCTCACAAGGCTGTTGTGAAAAAAATGGAGAGAAGGAGAACGGTGCTGTAAGCTGCTTTAGATATACACATGGGAGGGCAGCTAGGTAATCAAACAGACTCAGTTTGAACAGAGTGCCACTTACATCTGCCCTGCTTCTTGTTTTCCTCCAACTCAATTCTGCGTTCCCGACGCCGCTCATCACGAGCTTTTTTCTGTCTCAGGCGCTTTCTTTTTTCAATGTCGTCTAAGAGCCATTGAGAAAATATTTCAGATGACACAGGCTGCTATGGATTCTTAGCCACAAACCAGTAGCTTGGTAATAGCTAATCTCCTTCCCAGTCACACCCTTTAAGACATCTTTAATGTGTGAGACGGGATGCTGGAGTAGAGGGACCACTGATCTGATGCAGCAGGGCTCTTACGTTCTAATGAATGGCCTTATAGTTAACAGGTTCTATCTTCTAGCACAGGATTTTGCTTCCACGTATGATAAGGGCTTCCTGGTTTCCATCCCACTTTTATTAATCCCTCTCAACAAAAATGCTTTAGTTTCAGCTAGGAACAAACCACTTCTGAGTGGGGGGAGGGGCAGTATCCCTTCCAACTTCCTTACAAGAAAATGAACTAATGCTCACCTGCAAACATCTGCAAAGTTTCCTTTGAAATCACAGGAGGTTTCAAAGCCAGTTCACAGATACTGAACTCACAGGTGAGTGGCAAGTGACACAGGTAACGATGACGCTGCCGAACATCCTGCCAAGGGAAGGAGAAGGAAAGGTAATTGTCTGACAAAGAGAGCTTTGACTCTCGAAAGCTTATACCATGAAAATCTTGTTGGTCTCTAAGGTGAATCTAACTATAGTAACTCAGAACACATCCTCTCCCTTAAGCTGTCAACTGGTCTGGGGAGAAGACTAGTCCACCCCCAGTGTACTTACTGGAATCTCTACCAGCAATTTTCTACTTCTCATGTGTGGGAGGATTCTAGAACCTGCACCCAGAACCCCCAGGGTCCGAAGGGTCAGTGTGAGACTAGTCCAGAGATTGAATTCATCCCAGAGACAGTCCACTATATACTGAACTTCATAAAAATGTACAGAAAACAAATGGATCCAACTATTATTACAGTGCACTAGAAACCCTCCCCCCCAAAAAGGAACATTCCTTGTCTGCTCACCAAGACTTCTCCAAGAAGTATTGGCATAACAGCCCCAGACAGCGTAAAGACAGACACTTTATACGCTTCTATAGGATTCAAAGTAAGCAACAAGATGCCTCTCAAGAATGGGGTGGCCTTTGATAAGAACCAGACTCAACCCCTTACTGATGGTATGAACTTCTTGCTCAGCTATGAACTTTTGCCCAGATACATACTTTTTACATTTATGTTTAGAAGTCCTAGATAGTACGGTGCCTCACATACTACGAATCTCAAATGTTTAGGCTTGGAACCTGGTACATGGAGGCCCAGGAAGGCATAAACTCGGGCAAAGCTTTAGCTTTCCAGTATAGGTATAGAGCTTAAACAGCAAAGGCTCATGGGACTTCAGAACCAAGGAACAGAAGTCAGCTATAGCAAACTTAGTATAGAGAATAGGGATGTGCATTCGGTTCGTCTGAACCGAATGCACCCCCAAAAATGGCCCTTTCGGGCTGCTGCGGGCCGATTCAGATTCTCTTTTTTCCCCACCATAGAGAACAATGGAGGGGATGGGACAACCTGTTTGGGGGCCCGTAGAATTGGAACCCCCGGTCCAATGTTCTTGAAACTTGGTGGATATCTTGGGGAGTGGCTCCAGCAGCTACCCTGCAAATTTGAAGCCTCTCCCTCAAACCCCCTGCCCTCCAGCCCCCAGATTATACCCTATGTTTTCGCCATTGACTTCAATGGCCCATAGGATATAATGGCCCAAAGACTCCCCAATGGGCTCATACTACCGAAATTGACACACGGGACTGTTTCTGCCGGCCCGAAATCAATTCTGCCCAATTTGGCCGAATTCGAATCGGGCCGAATTTTTATTTTGTTTTGCACACCCCAATAGAGAAAGAAAAGCCCCAGGCTCATTCAAACCCAAATTCTGCCACATCATACTAAATGGAATTAACAATTGAAGTACCCAACATGAAAATCTCCAACAGAAGCCTAACTTAAGTACATTGAAACCCAGCAGGCTGCTGGAAAATGTTTCTGCTAGCTTTCAGCTCTCACCATCTTCTCACAAGGTTAGGCCAAGCTCCTTCAGGCAGCCTTGAACAGCTAGATGCCAGCATGGCCTTATTGATCAAAGACTAGAGTAATTACCTCTGTCATGGAGTGTCCCGATATCTCAACCACAGTGGCAGTGATAGTCTCTGGACTCTTCTCCAGGCTGCCATACTCATGCACAAGGCAACGAACATTCACTGGGTGAAGGTACAGACACTGCCCATCCTCCGCTAAAGTATTGAAGAGAAGTTATGAGATAGTTATTGAAACTGCGGGAAATCGGCAACAACCCCCAGATTTCAGTTTAGAGGCAATGCCCTGTAATCAACCACTCTGAAGTTTGAGGCATTCCAGTTCGAGGCCACTTGTTAGAAGAGGAAGGCCTCAAACTTTGCTGAACAGAGTGCTAGAACAAAGGCCAATGGCCCCAAATCTCTAGCACCTCCATGCTTACTTGTGCACACTGGATTTTCATCAAACAACCCACCTTCATCCCCCCATTACAAAATGCCTCTGAAGCTCTAACAAGGGCTGCTGTTTGAAGGAAAATTGTTCTGCTGGGAACAATGAGTTAGATGTGCGATTCTCTGGATCAAGGTACAGTCTTATTACCCATTAGGGATGTGCATTTCGGGATCCCGAGCCGAAAAAAAAGCCGAAAATAACGATTTTCGGCTTTTTTCGGCTTTTGGGATCCCGAATTAGCAATTTATGAGCTTGTCCGAATCCCGAAAAAAAATCCCGAAAAATTCGGGTCCATTATAACCAATGGGGCCATTGAAGTCAATGGCAAAAATCCTCTTGAAACTTTGTGGGAGTGCTTACTGGAACCTCTCCCCAACATACCCACCAAGTTTCAAGACGATTGGACCAGGGGGTACAATTTTATGGGCCCCCAAACAGGTTGCCCCCAGATCAGCTTGCTGCAGTTTATTCGCGGTTTGCCGCCGAAATTCGGCGGCAATTCGGCAACATTGTATCCTATGGCCCTTGGAGTGGGTAAGCTCCAAACTTGGAGGGTGGTTACTAGAACCTCTCCCCTACATACCCACCAAGTTTCATGAAGATTGGACCAGGGGGTCCAATTCTATGGGCCCCCAAACAGGTTGCCCCCATCCCATTGTTCTCTATGGTGGGAAAAAAATTACTTTTTTTCCCACCATAGAGAACAATGGGATGGGGGCAACCTGTTTGGGGGCCCATAGAATTGGACCCCCTGGTCCAATCTTCATGAAACTTGGTGGGTATGTAGGGGAGAGGTTCTAGTAACCACCCTCCAAGTTTGGAGCCTCCAACTCCAAGGGCCAACATACAAGTGCCCCCCCACAACCTGTGCCGCCAAACTGGGTGCCCAAAACCCCAAAACCAACACAACTTGGCTCAAACCAAAGAATCTCTACAGCAGCAGCACTGAGGTAGCATGTCTGTGCATTACCAATGCCAGACAGACAGGCCCAGCAG